CCATCTCCCCCTCACCCTCTCGCTACCTGACTTCACTGCAGCAGCAGACTATGAGAGAGAGGGATTGGTGCATTGGGCTTCAGACATCTGACGAGGGATTATCTGGGACTCGTACCGAAGACTTGGTGTTGACGACATTCCCATCTTCCCCCTCTTCTTCGTCTGATCCCCTCCTCTTCGTCTGTGTATGGTGTGGACCTGGCGCATTCTTCCTGTGTGTACACCTTGTGATGAGGATGATGTATGTGTGGTCTGCATTGCAACATTGATTGGGCTAGTCATTGGTATTCTAGCATTGCGCTGCGCTGTCTTGTACTATGTGAGAGAGGTCAGTCCCGGTCAGGTCAGGGCTTATATCTAAGTCTTCCACTGCGCTACAAGGTGCCATTTTGTATGTATCAGGATGTACATTGCTTGTTGGGATTCCACTAACACCGCATTGTCCATTCAGTATCAGATTGTGGATCCTTGGCTATACATACATTGCCCAACTGGGCATGTAACACCTTGGTCTGGCCTCGTTTCGGTGTACCCGGCCCAAGGTGCTGCCTTGGTGCCTGTAGTCCGAAATGGCGTTGGTACCGTTGAGTTAGGCGCCAAAACGCGCCTGGTTTCAGAAGGGCCTCGTCCCTCTGTACCTGGCCCAAGGTGCTGCCTTGGGGTCTGCAAGTCGGAAACGACGTCTGCACAGGCGAGCAATAGGACAACAGGTAAGTAGATGAATAAATAAATAAATACTGCTGCCTATATCTGCAATCTGCGGCCTGGGGGGCCGCCGTGGGCCTCCAGGGAGCATGTGTGCTGGCATGCGGCCTGGGGCCCCTCAGCAACCGTCGGGCCCCTCAAATGGGGCCCACGTGGAGGCTCAGCATGTAACACACACACACAGAGAGAGAGAGAGAGAGAGAGAGAGGTGCCATGATTGCAGTGCTGTTAGCACGTAGTCTTCTTTAGTGGGCCAAGTCTTAGCACATTTCGCGTGCTTGGTACAAAGATTGGCTCTTGTTTTTCTTTGTACGTGGTAAGACTTCTGGTAGAGACTGGAGCAGGTGAGTGAAGCTGAGTGGCTGGTGAGCACATCTTGTGTCATATGGTATCTCAAGGTTATTGTTGATTTGGTTGGCTTTAGATGTTCCGTCTTTTTTGCGCTCCTGTTTTGCATGTGGATGCATGCTGGTCACTGAATGGCAAAGCTAAGGATTGTGATTCAGGCATCATGTTGGGTTACGGAATGAGTGATAGAGACAGGGCAATGCTTGTTTTAGTCATCTCAAGCAACTCCTGTGCAAAGCCAGCATGCTGATCCACTTTGCTAGGATGATGATCTCCACGTTTTCCTTGGTCCTGGCAAGTCTTTTTTAGGGGGCTCAAGCTGGCACTGGAGTGTGGCTTGGTGCCGGGTCATGCAGTCTGCTCTGTTTCCATGCATGGGCCGACTGGTATGATAGGTTATGGTGGTGCAGGCAGCCAGTTCAAGGGACCATCTGCACTTTGGGTTGTGGCTTCAGTCCATCTGGTGGTCCTGCTATCGAACTGCGTTGGCGCTCCAGCACCGCCCGAGTAGGTTATCTCACTTGCAGCACTTCCCCTGTCGAGTGTCATTAATGGTGGCACTCAGCGTGTGGTTTAGTCCTGAGTCATGAGTTCTGCTGTGTTTCCATATGAGATCAGACTGATATGATAGCTGATGGTGGTTCAGGCGGCTAGTGTAATGGCTTGTTTGCACTTTGGGATATGCCTGGAGTCGGTCTGGTGATCCTGCTAGCAAATTTCTTTGGTGCTCTGGTACTGCCTGAGAAGGTCATCTGAATTGCGACATTTGGTGTATGTCACAGACGTTCATATTTCTTTCCATATTTATTTCCCTGTCTTGTGTCATCAAGCCGTGGGTTGTCTGCGGTCTTTGTGGGGGTGCTGATAACACGTGTCGAGTTTTGGGGACAGCATCCGTTGAGTACAATTCTCAATCTTACGAAGTGTGGGTCTTTGAATTTGGTGTGCAAACGAGAGGGCGAAGAGACTGGTCCTTGGGTGCCTATTAGGCATAGGTTTGTGTTGGAGGTGCGGAAACCTTAACACGTATGAGTGTCAAAGATGAGGTAGAAAGCATAGTTGTCGTCTTGGGGTGGAAAGTGAGGACTGGTGGGTTGAGCACGAACAGATGAAGCACTGGAGTCGTGCACTAGTAATTGTCAGCCTTGGTGATGAAATTGTGGCAATCAGCAATGTACATACATTCGCTATTGCCATGAGAGGAGCATCGTTTCACAGCTGGTTGAAGAGGGTGTAAGCATCTGATTATGCCTAAGGGTTTGCGTAGCATGTGATCTTCCTATCATGCCTTTCTTCTATTTTTTTGACGACCTGTAAGAGATATTTGCTGTTAAACCAGCAGATGTTGCCCCAGCTTTTGGGAAAAGGCACACTGGTTAACACGGGGTCCTGAAAGATTTTGCCCACTCAAGGTCGGCGGATGTAGAAAGCGGGTGCACAATTTCGTGTATCCCTTCTCTGTCGATTTTTCACTCTCATTTTCTTCAACAGAAGAATCTGAAATTAATTATGCTACCGGCCAGGACTTCCATGCCATTTTTAGTTGTCCAGAATGTCCTTGTGGACGCCTCGGGACAGCTGCCCATCTGCATTGTATGTAGGCCTAGCTGTGCTCATAATCCCCCCCCCTGTGATTTAAAGCACCAGTACACCACACATTGGACCGTGGGTGTCAGCATGAAACCCGCACCACTTCGGAGGCCGTCGCTTTCTCTTCTTCAACGGTGCCCCTGGCCGCATTGCGCCTCCAAGTTTTGCTTGTGGCGACAAAACCTTTCTGCAAGGCTGGGGCCGTGTACTAGCGGTTTAAGCTGATTTCTGTTTTTTAACTCGAATTCGGCTAGGAATTTGGAGACGACTCCCAGGCAAGAGTTGTTTGTATTGGAATGCTGCATAACATTTTTCTTTTTATAGAGTTTTTTTTTTTTTTTTTTTTTTTTTCCCAATGATGTCTGGGTAATCTACACTCAGCTCTACACTCAGCTAAGGTCTGTAGCCCACAAACCGGTGTCGTTGGAGCCTGGCATACATGGCGGATGTAGTGTCTGGATAGTGTGATGGGATAGTATTAGGATATCTGATCATATCTCTGATGTAAAAGCACCTTTAATTATGTTGAGCATCCCTTCCTCCTGTACCGTAAGTGTTCCCCCCACTTCCCCTGGACCCATGTTTTTTTTATGCTGAATGCACATGTGCAAGCCAGCCATCAAGTCGGGCATATTATGAGCCAAATCGTGCACCACAAGCCGGCCCTTCACCCATGCTTTAAAGCCTGTTAAACCAGCAGTTCTTTTCTCTGAGGCGGCCCTGCATGCGCCACGGATTTCAGGGCATAGCCTACTGGAGCGAAATGGCTGGCGATGCCAGCCAGAAATGGGAAATGTGCCGATTCATGCTTTTTTGGCATGAAGAGGGAAATCCACTTCAGCGAAAGGAAACCTCGAAGTACTGGTGGTTTAAAGCCTTGAGAAGTTGGGAGGATAAATTTGCTTTCTTGCATGAGCAGCATGAGAGCGAAGGGAAAATATTATGTGGACTGTAGTATGCAGCTGTACGGAAATCGGTAGAGGACCAATGTTGTGGTGTTTTATCAATGCCTCACCATATCTATCGGTTTTGAATCTGCTGCCAGCAAAATCTCCTTGAATCGATATTTATCTCTGGATATGCTCTTTATTGCTGTTATGCTAACAGATACACGGTTGCGATCCGGAATTCCAGAACAACCATGCAAATTGTTTTGGTATGATTTGCAGTACTGGGTGGACAAGTCATTCATTCAAATATATTAATAGCAGGAACTTGAAATTTTCAATTCACAGAACAATTGAAAAGAAAATTTGGGAAAGCTATGAAACCTGTCTGGCCCTGGGCAGCCCAGCGCAACACAATAAACATCAAAAAGTTCTGGAGACAGAAAAACGTTGTGTACAATTGCAATGCAAAGTTCTGAAGAACATTTTGCTGATGGTCATCTCAGAATTCTTTAGTGAATCTAAGATATTGAATCTAAGATTCTAAGATAGAAATGGGGGGGGGGGGAAATCAGCCGCACCTTTTGAAGTTTAAAGCCCTTGGAAAAGTATGCAGCGGAGCAGTACAAAAGTACCTCACGCAGGGTGTGTCATCTTGAAATTCGTAGCTACATTCTTCAAGAAAAGACCCAGGCCCAGAAAAAATAAAAAATTTGTTGGAAAGGCTGCCTTGACCTATGTTGGTTGCTGCTGGTGTTCGTCTAGCATGATTATATGCTAATATATAGACTTTAAAGTTTAATAAAGTATCATTATACTATAAAGAAAAATAGAAAAATAAAAATAAAAATAAAAAATTTGTTGGTCGACGCTGCGTGTTTTGTTTGCATGGCGTTTTTGATGTTATTTGACTTTGCAAGTATGATAAGATGCATAACGATGACCCGAAAAAAACGACAACTCTGGGTCTGTTCGTCTGGCACATCCTTTTCTGAGAGTGCCAATGATGTCCCGGAAGTGTGCACATATTCTCAAAACTTGGGTAGGAAAAATAAAAAATAAAAAATGAACGAAATCTCGATACTATTGTTTCTCCGTAGTGATAAGTTGATGTCAGGTGCTGTTTACTGAAAAGAAATGAGCAGTGCTTATAAGGCCCAGCAGCTTAGGTTTTGGGAATTAGCAAATTGCCAGCAGGATTCTCTCAGCTCAGATCCTGATGAGGGTTTTGGGAACGACCGTTTTCACACGACTATAATAATGCCTGGTTCTAATCAGGCGAGGACGATATCTGGTTCTAATAATGCCTGGTTCTAATGAACGGTATCTGGACTGGAAGTTGACTCAAATTCAGCTATAAAATGCTGGGTGTTCTGTTCGGGTGAGGACGATAGCAAGTTGGCAGCAGCTTAGCCTTGTGTGCCTTGGTTTGATAAATCAACCTGACAAGAGATGTGATTGAATTTTCAGGTTTTGGTTTCAGATGATGAGCAGGATGCGCTCAGCACAGACCCTGATGAGATTTTGGATACAGACAGCGAAGAAGTCAGTGGCGATGAAGAAGACATTTTCAGAAGCCTTCTTGAGCGTGCTGGTTTCCACCTCAGCTTTGGGGATAGTCCGCCGTTGATACTGGACCCTTCGCAACTACAAGTCACGCTGCGGGAGAAGCTGCTGATGGATGCAGGGGCTGTGGCTGCATTTCTTGCCGGACTACGAATGTATCTTGATGACCCAGCCAAGGTGAAAAGATTGCTAATGCCTACCAAAGCTGCCGCACCTTCAGTGACTACTGTTAGTGGACCTGCTGGCATGCAGAAAGGGCTGGGATGTGGCATCAATGGGAAGGGTCAAGCATATGGGGTTGTGGGAGGACAAGCGGCTGGAGGCGGGGAAGCTACCTCGCCAAGCTTGATGAACCTGCTCATGGGGGTGAAAGTGCTCCAACAGGCAATAGTTGACCTGTTGCTAGATATCATGGTGGAGTGTTGTACGGAAGGAGGTGCTTTTGGAGGGTCTTCCTTGAAAGGGGCAGACAATGGAAACAACTTGTTTGCAAACACAGGTGTTGCCTCCATGGCATCAGGAGGGGCTGCCCCTGCAGTGGAAGGGAAGGCTACGAGAACGACCGAATTTGGGTCTAGAGCAGGAGCAAGTAATGGTGCTGCTGCCGCTGGTGCTGCTGGGGTCTCAGAGCGGAAAGCAGGAGGGGGATCTCCGTCTTCGCTGGCAAGGCCTGTGGATGTCCGACTTGAGTCTGGAGCAGATTCTGGTGAAGGAGGGCAGTGTGTCAGCAGTGATTCATCCATAAGTGATGGAGTGGGCATGGGCGTAGGAGTGGGGATTGGTATGGTTCGAGGAGCTGGAGGAGGCATGCATGGGTCCAGAGGTAGCGCAAATGGGAGCGGAAGCGGCAGTGGAGGTGGCTCGTCTCCAATGCCTCCAGAACCTCCTGGTCAAGAGCCCTTGAAAAGTCCGACCAATTGTCATGTGCAAAAGGTATGTCTTTGCACATCCCCATGCTGCATGCACTCTGCGGGGATCGTCGACTTGTCGTTTAAGTGGTCTTTAAGTGGTCTGCCAGTCACATACATGGACAACTGTTTGCCTGTGTGCAAGCTTTGTTTTTTTGTCATGCGCTTGTGTTTGGCTCTTTGCACACTTCTTGTCTGCTTGTCTGAGGCTGATAGACTATGAACCTTTTTGTCTGCTTGTCCATAGCGAGGCCTGCGGATTGCTGAGTTTTGCCCACTGAGTGATGCTCAAATTGTTCGCACCTCGGGCATGTAGGAAAATGATGCAAACACTTTGTAGCTGTGCAACAAACCTTTGCAGGTTGCTTAGTTTGTAGACTTGCGACCAAGATGATGCGTCCCATTGAACATTGTTCTCACAGCTCACCAGGAGATGGCACCAGCATACGGATATCATTTCGGTGTAACAATTCCTCGTCCTTGAATCTACGAAAACCAATCGTTTCTCAGGCGGCGAGTTACGAGTCTTCCTGGGTGCTTCATACCTTATGTGAGGGATGCTCCCTGTGAATGCTCTGATGAAAAATGACTGTTTTCAATATCAATATGTTGGGTTACTTTTCATCGGCAGTCAGCGACAATGCTCTTAAAGCGTCTTGTTCTTGCTGTTTGTCGGCAATTCTCTCATGCCACCTTCTTCTGCTGTTCCCTTCCAGCAACACTTCACGCAAATTCACCACCTTTTTACACGCTCAAGATTTGATTGGATGCAATAACAGTTGATTGGAGGCTTCATAAAAAAATGAAATTGAACATACACACCTTAGTACTCCATCAAGCAGAGAAGTCGAGATCGCACGGGGGCGCCCAGCTTCGTTGGTCACAGAGCATCAAACGGGATCCAAAATGATCCGTCATATGCAGAAACTGCCTGAATATGTATGTGCCCAAGCTCCCTGATATTAGTGTAAAACACTCCCAAGCCTGATGGACTCGCATGCGCGCCAGGCCTTGCCAAACAAGGAGCGGTGCAGCTTTTTTCTCTTTTGGCTGGTGCTGCCAGCCATTAAGGTCTTGTTGGTCTGAGCCTCGGAATTTTCATCAGTGAACCATGAGTTTTTTAAAGGTGGCTGGGGCTGTGTACCGGCGGTTTTAAAGATGGTGCTGCTTCTTCTTCCCACCCAAGCAAAGGTACCAACTGAAAATTCGTTCGCTCTGCTTCCCAGCTCGTCGTATTTATAGAGCTGTCACATTTATAGAGCTGCTTTTCAACCAAGGCTACTGGGTCTGCCTTCTAGAAAACTTGAAATCTACATGGTAGGGCCTCGGCCTATATAAAGTTGCATGGCAGGGCCTCGTCCTATATAAAGTCGTAGGTTTGAATCCTGACAGCAGCAGAGCGAAAAGACAAAAAAAATACAAGAGAAAATCTGGGCAGGTTGTGGGTTCGATTCCCGTTGTGCCAACAACACTCCCCTCAGTTCGAAGTCCCCTGAGAACGTTACTTGCATCAACTGAGAAAGACTCTGTCAGAGTCTAGATCAACTGAGAAAGACTCTGTCAGAGTTCAGATCAACTGAGAAAGACTCTGTCAGAGTCTAGATCTAGAACTGAGAAAGACTCTGTCAGAGTCCAGATCAACTGAGAAAGACTCTGTCAGAGTCTAGATCTAGAACTGAGAAAGACTCTGTCAGAGTCCAGATCAACTGAGAAAGACTCTGTCAGAGTCTAGATCTAGAACTGAGAAAGACTCTGTCAGAGTCTAGGTCTAGAACTGAGAAAGACTCTGTCAGAGTCTAGATCTAGAACTGAGAAAAACACATATATTCAAACTGTAATAAACTAAAAGAGACATCAAATTACTCTTATGTCACTGTCTGTACACAAATGGTCAGTTTGCAGTGCACCTGTAATCCTGCGACTAACTGTTGTGCTTCTCCTGCCGGAGTTGCCTCCTCTCATAATGGGGACTATGTGGATCTCATGCGGTAGATGATATTTGGTCTCCACTTTTGCTGCTGCACCCACGACTTGAATCTGATGGGGTAGATGGTAATTATGCTATCAGACGGCAAGTAAATACGTATATGCATGTATCATCCACTTTTCTTCTTTGTCCTCACGAAGCTTTTGTAGTGCCCCTGCTTGCTTATCTGCTGCTACTGCAGTTCCTACTGCTACTACCACAGGTTCTGTTGCTGCAGTTTCCTCTGCAGCAGTTTCCACAGCTGAAGTCCCCCCTGCGTACGTTTCGCGGCAAGAGCTTCCTCCACTGCAGTTCGAGTGCAAAAATCATCAGTCTCTTCGGCACTCACGTCCTTAAATTTCTGACTCGTTCGCAATCAACCTCCCTCTCATGGCTGCATTCCTCCTTGCAACCCCTGTTGCTTCCACGGTCTCGGTTGAGAACGAACTCTTGCGGAATAACCCCCCTTCTCATGGTTGTGTTCCTCCTTGCGACCCCCGTCTCTTCCATGACCTCGTTTGTGAAAAGACTCTCGTGTTCCCATTGTTCCACCCTCCTTGCTGGAGAAATGCTCATCTCCGGTTTGCCACAACGCCACTGCTCTTATTGTGCATCGTGAAAGGCATGCAATGCACCCCTCGTCCAGGGATGAGCAGCCTGTCTCTTTGTCTGCCCCGATCCTCACTGTGCCTGGTCCACAGGTTGATGCAGTTCCTTCCTTCTTAACAGCAATATACGGTACAATGCCCCCTGCAGACAGTCCAGCTTCCTGCGGGCAGCCACCTGGCCGTCTTGTATGCCCTGCAGCATTGGATATTCGCGAGTCACATGCACAACAGCATAGGCCCACAGTCCACTCCTGATTCGAGGGGCAGTCCCTACTCGGGGCTAATAGGCTGTAACCCCAAACGCCCACGGATTAGAACGTGATTTGCCCGAATTGCAAATTGTCGCATAAGGCTTAGACCACTTGGGTGATCTGCAAAAGGCTGACTAGCATCCTTTGACTGAACTGCAGAATTTTGCCCCGACAAGGAGTAGACCACAGGTGTGATCTGCAAACGACTGACCAGCAAACAGCCTAGGACATTTTGCGCTTGCAAACACAATCTGGATGATCACAAATTGTTGGCCAACCAGCATCCTGCACGCCAGCCTGAGATACCCCAAATCTCTGTGGTGGTGTTCGAATTTTGTGGGGGACCGCTCTCTAAAGTATTTCTCAGTGACTGATAGTGTGCGAGCACCATGAGGGAAAGGTGAATAGAACCCTAAGAAAAGGAGTGAGATAGGAAACCTGAGACCTGTCGCTAGCAACATCTTCACATTTTCCGCCTCCCGCTTCATACGCCAGTGAACTTGCTTGCACTTGCCTTTTGGCTTGATGCTGATCTTCCCGGCATACAGGCAGAGGATGATGATAATACCAGGGAAGGAGGCCTTACAACTGCGGTCATACAAGTAGCAAGTAGGGACTGCCAACCTGAACTACGGAATGCTCCGGCAGGTGAGTGATTTCATCCTCCATTGGACATCTCTGCCTGCATTGTACACAGACCTGGCTGTTACACGACCATGTTGATTGTTCGAGACCTCACTCATTGTCGGAACAGAACGTTTTTAGGCTGATCCCCTTAAGGGTCCGCACAGGACAATTCTTACTACGGGATCTCTGAATTGTCCTTGGTGTGGTACCACCGTGGAGTTATTTGTACATGCCTCTTGTCATGGAAAGCTGTGGGACATCGGCACACCATGGTTCATGCGATGACTGCAGTTACTGATTTCTTACATAATGATGCTGTTTTCTTGCCACTCCACCGTCTGCACACTCTTTCATGTTGAAAATCATTCTTCTGCCTCCGTGCTGGAGAGGAATAGTCTTTGACATGAAAGAGTGTGCCGACTTTGTTAGCTCGAGCTTTGAACACCAAAAGCAGGACAGCACTAATGCTCCTGGAAATTGTGCAATACTTGCTGAGAAATCTCTGCAGGATACAAGGGCTGCCCTTCCTTGAATGAAATTTGTGCCTGGTCCTTAACGCTTTGCCCATTTGTTAGCCACTCGGTCTTGATTTTTCACATCATGGACAACCCAAAGTTCGGCTTGATTCGCTGTATGCACGCATGTAAAACAAACGTGCGATTACAAGAAGGGACAGAGCTTAGCATGCACACAGGGGAACTTCAGATGAGCAAAATAAGCGAATCAGATAATCGTAGAAAGGCTTGTTCCGTGGATGGCTGTTGGCTTAGTGGTCAGAGCACCGGTTGGAAATGCGCGTTGTGGTATGAGGTTGCGGGTTCAAAACTCTGTTGCCTTGCACATGTACACCCGCAGCGATTTCGTAGTGCACAAGCCATTAACACACTCCAATTGGACTGACGCATGGTAATTATCACAGACAATGCCTGTGCACCACCCAATGTGTTTAGTCCATGGTTGCAGTATGCTGGTAGCAGGGCCTTGGGGAAGGGCTGCTCGGCCTTGGGGTGGTCTGACGAGGGTGTGTGTGTAGTGTGTGGTCCAATTGCAAGGGACCTGACTGTCAACACTTGCCAGAGTGTAACACAATGCATTCCACTTCACCATTCACACAGACTCCACACACAACGCAGAATGGGGATGAGATGAGAACCAAGTCGCGCAGCTCATATTATCTCAAACACATTATAAAGAGTATCTCGAGTTCATGTCTCCAAGGGCTCAACAACATGACGTGTCTCTCTCTCGAACATCAGCATAATGGGGCCTGGCTTAGCCAGCGCCACCTCTCACAGCAACTCGTCAAGCGCAGAGCAGGTAAGTAGTCACCATAGCCATTTGTCAACCTGTCCTTCTTCTCCCTCTCTCTCTCTCTCTCTCTCAACATCTCAGTCTTAGTCCTCCTCTCGCATCATACATGCACACTCCTACCACGAAGATCTACTTTGAATGCAACTCACTGTAGACTAACAGCTAACCCTCTAACTATGCTATCTGGCTGGTGCAGCTATGGCTGCCTTGCAAGCCAGCGCCCAGTTCCTTCCTCCTTCCAGCACAGCTTCTCCTCCAGCGCTAACCCAGCTAGCCAGCGCACAAGTGCACGCAGCACTTTCCACGTTGATAATGCCAGTGGGGATCTGATGTCAAGGGAGGCTGGCTTATTGCTTTATACTGCTGGCCTCCCCTGGCGAGGTCTGCATTGGTCTGCATTGGCACTTTGGGCCTCCTTCAGTCCCAGACCCATGCATATGTGTGTGTCCCAGTGTTTTCCCCTCAGGGTCTGCTGCTGCTGCGGCCATCTGGCCTGAATTTCGGACTGGGGTCTGAACCTAGACCCCCTATTAGACTTTAGACAGAACTGGGAACCTGCCCTTTGACTTCCCTTTGGACAGACACACATTCTGCACGAACAGACACTCATACTGCACGAACGGACACATCTCTTGCCTGAACAGACATGACCTGCGCACCCCCCTGGACGAGCAGATGAGAATCCCAAATCCAAATATTGCAGCTGTTCGTACAGGGCACAACTGTGACCTTTGACATTAGCTTTTACTTAGCTAGGATGTGACTTCTGACCCAGAGAACATGTCCTTTGCTCTGCTTTCACGAGTTGGGCCCTGGCGAGTGACCCCTCTATGCTGCATTTGCCGAACAGGGTCTGAATCGGGTAAAGGCCCTTTTACAATGATCTCTGGGTCATGTCTCGTGTACTCACCATGGACAGGGTAGAGGAGGTAGGTTGGGTAGAGGTCTTAGGTCTAGATTAGGTTTGTGCACCGCCTTGTTCATATGCAGTGCTCTGTGGGTGTGTCACAGGTGTGTCTGGGTACCGTAGTAGTTTCCTGGTCTCATGGGACAGCTGCGAGAGTCCATGCTTGCATTGTACGATCCTGGTTCTGGTCTGGCTCCGCACTCTACACCCCCCTTGAGTAGTAGTAGGGGTTGGGTGTTAGGGACATACGATTCCCAAGGGCGGGCGTCATTTCTATCGATGATGCTTGCGGGCTGGATGTCATCCGCGCTGGTTCTTGTCTGCGTTCCCATTGAGGGTGTCGATTGGGCCATGAATCTGAGGAAAGGTCTCTGGGTAGGGGTCTCATCTCAGGCAGGGGAGGGTGGGTCATGGCATTGGTAGTAGAAGGGTGGTAGACACCCATAGAGTCTGCTAGATGTGATACAGGTGGGGAATGACCACATATCCGTGACCCCTCCTGTGTCCGGGTCGGCCTCAAGAATTTGGGGTGCCCCTATGGTAGCGCCCCGGGGGGACACTCAGTTGAGACCCTCGAAAGGTGAGGGTTGGCGTAGGTCTAGGTTTAGAGACAGGTCTGGGTTGCACCACTGTAGGGTTCTACTTGCGATCTGATTAGGATAACAAAAAAGAGTTCTCGAATGATGCCCCCCTGGAGGAGACTGTCCTTGGGGCTGTCACAAGCCATCTTATCTCCCCACTGGTCGAGTACAATAACAGGTGTGTCCTGACGCCTAGCATCCGACCTCTACAACTACGTGGTAGGGGCTGTGCCCATCACAGGTGTGTGTGTGTGTGTGTGTGTGTGTGTGTGTGTGTGTGTGTGTGTGTGTGATGCAAGGGGGTTGTGTGTTGTGTGTGAGTCCTGGCCATAGACACTGCTGTCTCTTGATGGGGACGGGGGAAGCAGATGGGAGGTGACGCCGCTGCCAAATGCTGTGTCTTTGCGTTAGCCCCCCCCCTCCTCCCCCCGTGGCCCCACCCTACTCCCTGACCGCTACTGATTAGGGCGAGGGCCAACATGCATCACCTTGATTATTGTGCAGGTAGCTATGCGTGCAGGGGTCCCCTGTAGAGGCTTAGGAGTAGTGGTAGGTAGGTAGTGCAAGGTAGAAAATGAAAAAAGGAAAATCCAGCAAATTGCATGCCAAACCTTGTCAAAGTCAGCATTGCTCACTGCGTTACGCTGGGGAATTTGATGATGATGACAATTAAGGTGGGTGAAATACGTAGCCTGAGACCTGACAGTGTAAGGATGACATTGATTGACTAAATGTGGCCGTAAGGGTTATCATGCCGATAACCATGATGATGGCGATGATGTCTGATGAATGTGCAAATGAACTTGATGATGACATGGCGCACAATAATTTTGAAACGTCTGTGACAACACTGACAACTGATCAAAGTGAACTATGGACCGTGAATGATGATTTGGTAATTATTGTATCAGAATCTACCATGATGACGATCAAACGACCAGGTAACAACAGCAAATTTCAGAACTGCCATTGGATCAGACACTGCTGCCATGAATCTAAGTGCTGTAATAATTCGACCATTGAATATCTGTGTGTCATTCTTGTGCAGGGGCAATGCTAAAATTATCTGCCTGCATCTTTCCGATTTAAACGGATGTCCCGAAGGACACAGAGGTTCTATGTAAAAGGAGCTGTATTCAGAAACCCCAAGCCTCCCCTTCTCCCTTCCCCCCCCCCCCCCCCCCCCCCCACACACCACCACCACCACCACTGCTACCAAAGAAAAGGAAACAAAAAGAAAAGATAAAGAGGGTATAAAACAGGCATTTTGTTGCCAGAGTGGTACTTCTTTGAAGTTCTTTCCACTTTTTCAATATTAAAAAGGAAGATTGGTTGTGCAAAGCAATTCCTTTTGTGGCAGTGGAATGCCATTGTGCTCAGCTCCTACTCTGTAATTTGCCTCTCTGGTTCGATTTTGTCTTCTTTTGTTCAGTCTGCAGGTCCAAGATGGCCCGAGCAATCTGACGAACTCCTTGGTTTAATCGTGGACTCTCTACGAACTCTGGACAGTGTTGTTACACAGGGGTGTCCAGAGCCTAGGCGGAGGCCCCAGTCAGCACAAAAGATTGCTCTTGTTCTTCAAGCGGCGCCATCTCACCTTCACCAGGACCTGATCGGGCTCGTACCAAAGCTGGTGGATGCAGCCGAGCACCCAATTGCCGCTCAGGCGTTGCTAGAGCGGCTGAGAGTACCAGATGCAGATCCTGCAACGCGCATGCCTGTCCTTGCATCTCTTAGTCAGCTGGAGGTTGGTCCTGACGTGTGGGATCACGTCTTCCGTAGTGGACTGGAAACAATGGTTGCGGTGGACGACGATTTGCTTGCAACTGCTGTAAGCATTGTTTTCAAGGCTGCGGCCGAAGTCAGGGCACTACCTCTAGCGGTGAGTATTCCCCACTTGCGGACTTTTCCGCTCGTTAATGTGGCCCTAATAGTTTGACAGTGGCTATCTGACTGTCGCATCTGATTTTGTCCAATGTTTTGCTGTCCTGTTTCAGCATCTAAATTTGCAGACACCGTGCAACGCATGGCTGTGGAACCCTGAGACGTATGTGCAGGAGATGAGCACACAAAGTTCTGCTCTGGGCAGTCATGGAAAAATGGCGGCAGCTTCAACATCCAGCTGCGGGTGACTTATTAAAGTCAGATTTGGGCACTCAGCCGTGTATAACTGGCACTTCCCCGGCCATCTTGTTGCGTCAACTTATAATCACGGGGCCATTTGAAAGGGGTTTGCGTCGCTCACAGTATCCAGAGAAGATTGACGGACGGAAAAAACAATGACCGTATTCTCTATTCTGAATTTTCTTGTCCATTCTAGAGCACATAGCTGACAGTATTGAGCGGATTGACCTCCTTGCTTGATAAAAAAACAATGACCCTACTCGATTGGCCTGTCCATTCAAGAGCAATTTATGCTGGATACAATAGAGCGCAAACAACCTGTGTCTCGAATATGCCGGTTACAAAGTGTGGTGCACCTTCTCGGGCCGCAGTAGAATCCGGTGGGCCCGCTGATCAGCTCCAAATGTTAGGATCGGGTCTGCAAAACCCCTGTGGAGGGTAACGAGAGCGAGACGGTCGGAGTCAGCGTTTGGGCGCGAAGTTAGTGGGGGATGGTTGGAATGAGTCTGTGGAACCCATTGGTCGGAAGCTGGGAACCCATTGGTAGTGCATTTCATTTCGTACGTTTGATGATATGGAATATGTTTGCGTGCAGCGCATAGCGTAACCTCTGTTAGCAACAGTTGGATCTGTGTGATCGTATGCTCGCTGCTAGTGTGTTGTCTTGAGTGTCCTAATGAAGCATTATCATGTACTCATCCTTGCTGCTAATTCATGCACTCATCCTTGCTGCTAATGTGTGCCTTAAGGGCTGTAATGAGGCGTTGTTTGTATTCGTCACCTTCATCTGCACATCACCCCTCGTTTACGGCTTGTTGTCCCTGTAGCATACCTAGCCTTGACTCATCATACTGTCAGTTGCATTGCGTTATCGTTTTGTTACAAGTGTTGCAGTGAGCCATCATGATGTTGTACGCATCCAGTTGTCATGTCAAACCGTTGAATCATCATCGTGGTGTTGCGCGCGTTGACTTATTGATCCCCTTGATCGACACATTAGCTCGCTGTATGGCTTGGTATTCGTCGTTGGCATGCCTAAGTAGCTATGAGCAGGTTTCCGTCTCTGTTTCTTTGGCTTCTCAGTCCAGACAACGCACAAGGAATGCATCCAAGAAGAAGCTCTGGGCAGCATGTGGCTATATTGTGTGAATGATCCCTCGTCCAGGAACCTTGTGTCTGCACCGTGAACACTGCCTGCTTTCTGCTACTCCTAACAGATGAACTCGCTCTTGGAAATGGTAATGAACCAGAAAGGCAGCCAGGTAGAGAACTCGAGTGTGGGGAGGTTGTCCTACCTACCGCCAGGACAATGGCTGTCAACGTGGTGCAAATACGACATCTGTGAGTGACTCAGTCACAGCCATCAGAGGGGATTGTTCAAAGCCAACCTCGACAGCCCGTTGAGGATCAGCGACTGCATTCTCTGCAGCTGAATAACCTCTGTGTGATGATGTAGGTGACGTGCGGTTAGCATATGAGCGCCATCACCTCTGCCAGGACAAATTTGATGGAAGGTTGAGGCTACCCTCTGCTTGGATAATCCAGGTGACCCTTCTCTCTGTACTCACCTTGGCCATCCTTTTATTGCATGCCCTTTATTTCCGGAAGGGCTTGATCCACACTTTATGTTGGAGTGTCATAGCCATGCCTGTCTTTCTGGCCTGTGGAAGTCTTGTTGCGTGCCTCACCCGTCTCTGGCACAATCAGGAACAATGCGTATTATTTTGACATTCGGATGAACTGTTTTTCACACAGCATTGCATCGTGCTTGTCCCATCTTGAGTCGTGGGCACCTAGCATTCCCTCGGTATTTCCCATTCATGTTCCACGGTGAGCTCATCCGTTGATGCCAGCTATGATGTTGCAACCTGAGCGCAGGTGTGGCCATTATGATGGTTAAGTGGATGTACGATCATCTCCTGCTGCGGAGCCTTGTGCTCGGTTGATAATGCCGGGGTTGTTTCTGTGATTTTGGCTCCATGCGTGTGTATGTTCGTGCATGTCCGTGCATGTGGGTCCTCTCATTGTTTTTTTTTTTTTTTTTGTGGGCGCTGTCTGTCTGTCTGCTGTTTCATTTTCAACCGCTTTCCTCTTGCTCCTACTATGGATCTAGTTTCTATTTCAATGGCTGATGGCCCCAAGTGGTAGCAGTGACACAGCAACTGTTTTCATACAGCAATTTGTATAATGGCGCCAAGTTTGTGAGCTGTGCATATGTTTGAACTTTGAACCTTTGTTCTATTTTGCATAATGGCGTTATCGTGATTTCATCACCGTGCCGTCCTAACAAAGGTACAGTCATCATCGTGCCGTCCAAATCGGCTCTAGTCCATGTCTGGCTGGCCACATGTTTTGAAGAAGAACCTGCACATATGCATGCGCATATGCCTGCACGTATCTCTGATTGTTTAGCACTTGAAAAGTGGCATGCCGTCCACTGCAGTGCATCTGAAACTGTTCACAGGCCTGGCAAACACTTTTGAGCTGTGCTGGCCCCCTAGGAACCAGGGTGGCTTGGAGACGACCACTGTGCAGGCACCTCTGGATGAAATGTACACGCTGTGCACACCACTTGTTGAATGCGCGATAAAGCCCTTCTACAGCATAGTTGTTTTTCGTCCGTGGGATATGGCCATGTTTGTTTGGCTTGTTGTACTGAGTCTCAACATGTTCGTTCCTTTGTTGTCGCAGATTCGTACGAGGTCGCCGGTCCTGTTTGGTTAGAATGTGTGAAAATTTGTGGGTGTGATATTGATAGATGGTTTAGTGTTGAGGTGTAGGTCTGGGGGCAAGTTTTCGTGTTGTTGCTGGGTTTCGTGGGAACAACAAGATGAGCTGCTTTTTCAGTAGCTTCATGTGCAGCTTGGTGTGACTGCTACATTTTAGTGGGGGAATTTCTGGCCTATAGGACAGGTGGCCACTGTGCACGATCGATCTCTCCGGGGCGGATTCAAAGAAGGACGTAATAATTCCCAAGAGGTGGACGCATCCGACCTTCTCCGACTCACTGCACTATGTTGCTAGGTGCGACTCATGGCGTTTTTAGGGGTCTCAGCTCAGAGGCAGTTGGTAAGGTTAATAAGGATGTCACTGATGCTTGATTGACTTCTTATGCTGGAATGAGAGTTTGATAGCTTGCAAAACCGTATTCGAGATATCATGGTTTGTTGTTTCGGTGCAACGAATGAAACCTGTTTTTTGCTAGGCTGGGCCGCCGCCCGGCTGGGCATGCCCCGGCCGGTTGGGCCCAGGGGGGTCCGCCCGGCAAAACCGGGCGATGCAAAAACGCAGCAAGGATTTTTTTATTTTTTTTTTGAAGGCGGGGTTGTG